TATGGGCGTTAGAGTGGGCGTGGCAAATTTTTTTTTGGATCAATCGATAGGTATCGACGAGACCAATACATTTCAGTTAAAATTTTTTATCTAGCATGAAAATTGTGGGCGTCACAGGTTTTCGCGGTTTGTGGGCGTTAAAGTGGGCGTGGCAAACTTTTTTTTGGGTCAATCGATAGGTATTGATGAGAACAATACATTTCAGTTAAAATTTTTATTCTAGCATCAAAACTGTAGGAGCCACATCTTTGGGCGGTTTGTGGGCGTTAGAGTGGGCGTGGCACTGTGCCGAAACAAACTTGCGCTGCGTAAGAAGCTCAGGAATCTGCACGCCAAATCTCAATAGCCTAGCTCCCATAGTTTCCGAGATCTCAGCGTTCATCCGGACGGACAGACAGACGGACAGACGGACAGACGGACATGGCTAGATCGACTCGGCTAGTGATCCTGATCAAGAATATACATATATACTTTGTGGGGTCGGAAACGCTTCCTTCTGCCTGTTACATACTTTCCGACGAATCTAGTATACCCTTTTACTCTACGAGTAAAGGTATAACAAGGGAGAACGCTATAGTCGAGTACCTCGACTGTCAGATACCCGTTACTCAGCTAAATGGAGATATGCAAGCAGCAAAGCGAGATTAAAATGCGCCACCTACCGGCGGTATACAGATTTAAGCGTTATGGGCGTTAGAGTGGGCGTGGCAAATTTTTTTTGGATCAATCGATAGGTATCGACGAGACCAATACATTTCAGTTAAAATTTTTTATCTAGCATGAAAATTGTGGGCGTCACAGGTTTTCGCGGTTTGTGGGCGTTAAAGTGGGCGTGGCAAACTTTTTTTTGGGTCAATCGATAGGTATTGATGAGAACAATACATTTCAGTTAAAATTTTTATTCTAGCATCAAAACTGTAGGAGCCACAGCTTTGGGCGGTTTGTGGGCGTTAGAGTGGGCGTGGCACTGTGCCGAAACAAACTTGCGCTGCGTAAGAAGCCAGGAATCTGCACGCAAATCTCAATAGCCTAGCTCCCATAGTTTCCGAGATCTCAGCGTTCATCCGGACGGACAGACAGACGGACAGACGGACAGACGGACATGGCTAGATCGACTCGGCTAGTGATCCTGATCAAGAATATACATATATACTTTGTGGGGTCGGAAACGCTTCCTTCTGCCTGTTACACACTTTCCGACGAATCTAGTATACCCTTTTACTCTACGAGTAACGGGTATAACAAGGGAGAACGCTATAGTCGAGTACCTCGACTATCAGATACCCGTTACTCAGCTAAATGGAGATATGCAAGCAGCAAAGCGAGATTAAAATGCGCCACCTACCGGCGGTATACAGATTTAAGCGTTATGGGCGTTAGAGTGGGCGTGGCAAATTTTTTTTCGGATCAATCGATAGGTATTGACGAGACCAATACATTTCAGTGAAAATTTTCTATCTAGCATCAAAACTGTAGGAGCCACAGTTTTGGGCGGTTTGTGGGCGTTAGAGTGGGCGTGGCAGTCTACTGAAACAAACTTGCGCTGCGTAAGAAGCTCAGGAATCTGCACGCCAAATCTCAATAGCCTAGCTCTCATAGTTTCCGAGATCTCAGCGTTCATCCGGACAGACGGACAGACGGACATGGCTAGATCGACTCGGCTGGTGATCCTGATCATGAATATATATACTTTATGGGGTCGGAAACGCTTCCTTCTGCCTGTTACATACTTTCCGACGAATCTAGTATACCCTTTTACTCTACGAGTAACGGGTATAACAAGGAAGAACGCTATAGTCTAGTACCTCGACTATCAGATACCCGTTACTCAGCAAACGGGACCAAAGGAAAATGGAGATATGCAAGCAGCACAGCGTAATTGAAATGCACCACCTACCCGTGATCTCAATATATGGTCATGTGGGCGGTAGACAGATTTGAGCGTTATGGGCGTTACAGTGGGCGTGGCAAACTTGTTTTTGGATTAATCGATAGGTATTGACGAGACCAATACATTTCAGTTAAATTTGTATCTAGAAAAGGCGTGGCAATCTTTTTTTTGGATCAATCGATAGGTATTGACGAGACTAGTACATTTCAGTTAAAATTTTTTTTTTATGTCTGTCCCCTGAGCCAACCCCATATGATTTCCTTTTTTGGCTCAATGCTTTTGTAAGTTCAAACAAATGATTTTGTATTATATATACTATTTTTGGGAAGCTAATTCCCTAAAATCTAGGTAATAAATTGCCCATATTGTAGGGAATTGGTGACCAAAAGGATTACTAGCCGAGTCGATCTAGCCATGTCCGTTTGTATGAAAGCTGAGATCTCGGAAACTATAAAAGATAGAAAGTTGGTATTTGGCATATAGATTCTTGAACTTCTTGCGCAGCTCAAGTTTGTTTCAGCAGGGTGCCCCGCCCACTCTAACGCCCACAAAGGCCAATAGCGCTAGAACCCGACTAGAACCGCAGTTAGTAAATAAGTCGGATCCAGCCGGATCGGACAACTATATCTTATAGCTCCCATAGGAATAATCGGGAAAACAAATGTTTTTTTTTTGGTGTTTATTAACATATAAACTCCTACGCTTGGAATAACATTTTTTAATAAGTTCTGAATATGGACTTTAATTTTATTAAAATTGGACCACTATATTATATAGCTGCCATAGGAAAGAACAAAAAATTGGTGGGAAAATAACATGAAAAAAATTATATAATCGGTGTTCTTTAACATATAATATTTTTTTTTATTAGTTCTGAATTTTGAATTTAATTTTATCATAAACGGACGACTATATCATAGGAACGATCGGTGGGAAAATAATATGAACTAAATTATAGCTTCTGTGTGTTTGACATATTATCTTATACTATTGGGAATATAATTTTTTTGTATTTTTAAATTTAATAATAATAACTGCAAGGATATACAAACTTCGGCTTGCCGAAGTTAACTTCCTTTCTTGTTTATTTTTTAATAATTTAAATGTGGTTCTGTTATTATAAATACCCATCTATGCCAAAAATTATTGAAATTCATTAGAAAGTTATAAGCAAGTAATATTCTATATTTTGGAAGTTCAATCAATACTAGACACCGCATGCAGCAAATCACCTTTTGCACTAATACGCCACCATGGGGGCTACGGGCTGGTTGACGTTATGGGCCAGGTGGCGCTAGCTACGGGTACTTGAAAGTCGATGGCATCGACTATAGCGTTCTCTCTTGCTAGATTTATTCTCAACAGATTTTTTTCTTTTTATCCTTTCACAACAAAATTCAGGATCCGCAACTGGTCTGAACTCATAATACCTTCTGCAAGGGTATACAAAAGTAACGAGCGCACCCGGAAGAAGATACGTAATGTTAGTATGAACTGAACCTGACCAATAACATGTCCCAACCTTCAGCACATTCTTCGAAAAGCAGCGTAAGGATGTTTGCAAGTTTATGGTTTCCAGGAACTGGAAAAGGGGACAAATTTGTAAAGCATTTAAGGCACTGACAATAAATGTAGCTTGTTTCTGACATTTCTCACTGTTTTGCCCCGTCAGGCCAGAAAAGTTATTACTAATCCATAACCTATCCTTACGCAGGACAGGCAATTGTAACAAAGGCTAACGCGGGCTCAAATAAATTGTCTGATTACGAGTGCAAGTGGTGACAGTGGAAATGCATTAGTTGGCATTGCTTCCTGCCACCCATTAAGCACCCCACTCGCACAAGTCGCAGTCTAGATCCAGAAAATATGTTTTTCTTGGAAAAGCGTTGAATATCCGCTCGCTATACAATTGACATGTGAATCTGGCTAAAGGAAACTTTGCTCAGAAGTGGCTAAAAATTGTTGTTCGCAAGCTTTCCGGACCATACATTTTATGAGTATATTTTATTTCGCTTTCATCACTAAGGCGGATTTTATGGCGAAAATGAAGTAGCCGCCTTGGTGCATTATTGAGAGCCAACAGTGGTGGCCGGGGGGCGAGCAAATGACACAGGATCGAGTACGGGAACGGGGAGAGTATCTGAATCTAGTATCTTGGTAACGGTCTAGGTATGAATGAGTGTGTAAGTGCCCACACAATCCCTCACTACCAGAGTAGGATAAGGTTTGGTTTCTCGAATTTTATGCCAATGCTAATAGCGTTTTCGTGTTTCTCTGCCAGATTTGACAGCCTAATGGCCAAGCGTACTAACCGCCAAGCGAGCAGAGTCGCAGCTGACAGCCTGGCCAACAGGACGGCGAAATGATTGAGTCGCCCGGCTCTGAACTGTTCTCCGGCTGAGGCTCCTTCTGGGCAAGGGAGTGTGACAAATTCAGCATCAATCTACACAATTAACTGTATCAATTTGTCGGAACCACTTCCCTGCGCATTCGTGCAGAATTTTTGCGTTCGATAAGGGACCCCGTAATGTGCTCTGTTCAGCTCAGCTGCAGCTTTTGGAGTCGTGATGGGGCAAACCTTGGAACGGCACTGCAGCGCGCTTGCAAATTGAACGAGATTACTGCCGGGGCAAGGAGATGTACATTATGTCGCAGGCAGGAGGCTGCTCTATGTAAATGCCCAGGCTCAGAACGGGCTCGCATGCTGACGGTTGATAAGCATTTCAACTTAAATATTCTCGCCCTCGCCCGCCCTCTTTTCGCTTTCTGAAAGCATTCAATGATTTTCCGAGCGATTGCACAGCCGCTGATTAAGCAGCAGCAAACGGGAACCCAATGACTTTACCTAATGCCTGGTAGGGTTGAAGATGGGCTGAGGGTGCGGATGAGGATGAGGGTGCGGATGAGGACGGGGATGTGGAGGGCGGACAGGACCTTGCTGTGTATCTAAAAGCGTTGGCCACTTTCATGTGTGGTAATTTTTGTCGCTGCGCAGCAGCTTGAAAATGAATTATGTATACCCGCACATCCATATCAAAGTGTATTGATCGGGTGCCAAAAATAAAATGCTCGGGGTGACTAGAGGCTGGGTGCTTCCGGTGGGACTTACCTTTAACGGCACTTAATTGGTTTCCAACCATTTGCTTAGCTATGAAGGCCGCCATCTTTCGGCTGTGGCTCTACGGGCGTGGCGCCTGCTGGCTGTGGGTCCTCTACTTCCGCGCGAGGCAGTGCACTTGCGTTCCGCGCTGGCTCTTGCGTCCTCGGTAAGCTGGAAGCGGCAGGACAAAGAGAAAAGAACAAATTAATTTGGTGTGTGGCAGGACAAAGGAGTGCCCTGTCACCTGGGCCGGCCTGATACTTTAAGCCGCTTATCTTAAATGCCTTAAGTCGAGCTCCCCGCCTTCTGACTTCTGGGAGCCGACTAGAAACGATCCGGCCATCAGCCTTGCCCCCGCTGAGTCCCGGATTCGTGTCCAGTTCCTGATTTGTCTCAGTCGAGCCTCCAGTTCACCGACTGCAACCCGGTTGCCTGTGAATCTCCCTGCTCTGCTCCTCCTCGAAGGGGCCCTGGTGCTGTACTTGATTCGGGAAATTTAATAACTCGGGCCGCTCTGGTAGCACAATAATGCCGTAATGAATGTGGGCTGTGCGCTCTCCAGCCGAAAATTTTCAATTTTATTAGGCCCCGGGCTGGGGAGCAGCAGCAGGGTCAAGCCGGAGTGTACTATTGCTGCTGGCTGTGTCTGTCTCTTTGTAACCATGTATTAATATTTGCGCAAATTGGGCTAACGAACTTAAGCCGGAGGCGGCAGCCTGTTTCTGGCTAGCTGCGCAAATTAAAACAACACCAGCAAACGAGCAACGAAATTAGTTTGGCATAAAAACCATTTGCCGGGCGGGGTGCGCGGTGGCGGCAATGGGCCATCTCCCTGGCCAGTGTCAGTTAGGAACCGTATATTTTGCTGCTGGCTTGTGATGGCCCTCAATCCCCCCTCCCAGCTAGTGAATTAAGCTGATGCTGCACGGCGCTCTCGGTCCGTTTTCCTGGCCCTGCGATAGGCACTCAGTTCGCAAACAGCTGAGTTGTTTATTGGCCGGGCATTTGCAGTTTGGAAAATTCACTTTAACCCCCAGCTCTAGCTTGGCGGAGGAGGAACAGGCGTCCCACTCAGCCGAAAATTAATCGGGAACGGGGTTGTGGGGCGGAACGGCTAGGCAGGACGAACATACCTGACTTAATATATGTAAATAAGAGCACAAATTTATGGCATTCGTGCTTCGAATTTTATGGCCGGGTAGCTAAAGGTGTGGTCCCAACAAAGGCAAGGAACACTTTCTTATCCTTGTACAAATAAACAACACAAGTTGACCCAAAGAACGCTCGGCTGGCTATCTAATTACGTTTGAAGTTTTGTAACCCAGGAACCAGTAAGCCAAAGCCAATAAACACGCAAATAAGCTGTGTTCGACCCGACTCGGAGGTATTTTGTTGCCTGCCTGTAGCCCAACACCACACCCGCGCTCTTGGCTGTTTGGCCCCGGCTAGAAAAAGGTCACCGGGCATCAACAAAAATGGCTCAGGCTAGTATCAAGTATACGCCGAGTTGGGTTAGCCAATGCCCCCTTTTTTGTTGATTGCTGACGAGCTGCTGGCTCCGGCACCGAATAGACCTACACTGCATCTCGCGTGCTTTAAAGGAACCGAAAGGTTGTGTAATCAGCTCTGGGCTTCTCACTGCCATGAAGCACTCTTCGCGTAAAATGTGAAAAATGCGGAAAACTTTGCACAAATATTTGACGTAAAATGCGTAAAAGTTTGGAGCATACTTGAGGAATACTTCTGACACTTTTCGGATTGGTTGGGCCATTCACTTACCTGGGCTTAGTTCGGGAAGTATTCCTTTCAGATTTCCGCTGGAGATTCTTGTGTGTGTGAGCGCTACAGAGTGGATTTTGTTGTTGAAGGAGCAAAGTTTAGAAATAGTCCTCGCCAAAGTGTTTTTGTTTTAAAGAAATCCGCAGAGAAGAGAGTGCATTAGGCGGACAAGGTTCCTGAAAGCAAGCAGAGGAAAGGAATGAGACAAGGCCTGAGATAACGATTAATGTCCGGCGATCCCAGATCGATTCGAGAACCCTCGGCTGCCCGACCCGAAATCTGCTGGCCTGGTGGCTAATTTAAAAATAGGGGACACACACTTCCCCAGGGTCCACACTGCTACTGATGTTTCTCTTGTCGTCGCTGTTATTGTGCTGCCGTGCCACTTGCTTTGTTGCTTTGCTGTTTTTATCGATATTTCTTTATTAGGGTTTCTTTTATGGAAACGTGCACGTAAGTGCCTTTTATGCCCGTGTTTGGGAGGGGTCGGACGGAGGAAGCGGGGGCGGGTGCCGCAGCAAACGAGATTTCTACTTTACGTAACAGGCGCAGCAATGAATTCGATTGAATTTGAGAAACGGGCCCGCTAGGCCGAATTCGTTGATGTCTGCCCGTTTTCGCTTTTTTCACTGATTACATAAAGCCTCTCTCGCACTGCAGCACTCAGTCGATGGTCGAGCAATTGAATTAGCTCGATAGAATACGTTTTTTAATCAATTTGATTTTTATTCGTGCTCGGGCGCTGTTCGTCGATTTTTGTAATACCTCGGTGGGCCAGTATCGACATAGGTATACGTGATATGTGCCCAAGGCCTCTATATAAGCCCTCACTCGCTCAACTCCGCACTCGCCTGCTGGTGTGTGCGAGCGCCATGCGTGTGTGTGTGCTTAATACTTTTGCTTTGGTTTTCCACTTTTCACCCAGGCCGTCGCTATGTTTTATTCGGCGCTTCTTACTTCATGCTATGTTCGCACTCTTCTGCACGCCACTGCCGAGTTCCCTACATGGAAAACTCGGCTCGACGCCGCGGCACCGCTTTCGGAATGGCTGGCAGCAGCGTCGGCAGCGGCAGCGACGTCGGCGGCGCCAGCGACTGCGACGGCTGCGGCCAAAACGACCAAATCCAATAAAGAGCTCGCCGAGGGGACGAAGCTTTGGCCCCTTCCGGAACTCTGCGCGCTCGGGCTTGAGTGCTTTATGCAGCTCGGGTTGCCGAGAGGAAACGAGTGGGACGAGGACTTAGATAAGGACAACAGCACTAGGGGCTCGTTCAAAGGGGAGCGCTCAGGGCGCGAAAGCCCTCTGTTGTTGCTGTGGGACTGCGGGACGCGTCCTCCTGCCGTCGTCACCGTCTTTATGTAACGCCATTTCGCCTCCTCCCCCTGCGAGTAATAATATATTTATCTGCCGCTTCTTTTGTCCGTTACATAATTCGATTCCCCTCTCTTTATCGCTCTCTCTCTATCTCCCGCTCTTGACTTTTTGACTTTGAAATCAGAAACCGAAAGCGCTGCCTACATTTGTGCGCTGGCGCCTGCGCCGAACGCACTGGAGATACGGTATTGATTCGAGCCTTCCTGGAGCCAGCAGGCCAGGCGCTACTGATAAGACGCTCGTTCTGCGGTGTGGGCCGGAGCCAGCGAGTCATTATCACCACTCGGAGCAGCACAGGCCACTCTGCCGCACCCACTGCACACGTCACGTCAGCTGCCATTCCAGATTGTTTGCATATGTGAAGCCGACAAAGAACGGCAGGAAGCCAGCTTCGGAAGCAAGAAGCCTTGAATACGGAAATTGCAAAGTTCTGGCCACGTCCGCTCATCCGTCCGCTCATCCGTCCGCCGGCGGACTGCGCCGACCTTAGCCTCAGCCTTAGCCACGGCAAGTGCTTCGACGGCCCGGAGGCAGCGGGGCTGTCCTGCGAAAAAGAATTCTTCCTACGTCTAATTAGTGCGACTCAAATCCAAGGGTTGCCATGCCAGCGCCACTGGCGGGGCTTTGTTGTTTTCCACTCAGTCAATTATAGTTTCTTAGCGACTTCAATCTGCTTGCTGGACGTGGGTGCGAATCGCTGCGAGTGCGAGCGGTTGGGCGTGCAAAGGCCTGGGGCTCTGCCCTTCTGCATCCGACGCTATCCCTTCAGCTTATATACCAATCAATTATATCCCAGCCATCTCTTGCTGCGCAGCGCGATATAACTTTTCCGCCACAAATTGCTTATTACTTCTGGCTCCGCAGAGCGACGCGCCCTGCTTAGAATGACAGTCACGTCCTGGCCACCAGGGCATTGCTGTCGCTGGGGTAATGGTCCACTGGCCATTGGAATTGCTCCTGGGTCGGGGGAACTGTGTGAAGGTACGCGGACTGCAGAGTCCTTACGGCTCAGGGGGAGGGGGCCCGCCGACCACATCCACTGCCTACCTAGAACAGTCGGGACACTGAAAACTACAAAACTTTGGTATTTTCGCCACAGTAATGCACGCGGCACTCAGCAATGTCACACTGATTGCTGCCCGACGCGATGCATGTATACAAACCGAAAAGTTCGCTCTGCGGCGGGGACGACGGGCGAAACTACATTTACTGCCAAAAACAAGTCGTTAGCCAGTGTAGAGTTTGTGGCAACAACACGCACGCCGAGAACACAGAGAGAGCCCATAACGCAGAGAGGACGATGGCGAGTGAGCCCTCTTCTGTCAGATTTGACAGTTGACCCCAAACCACGCGAAAGCTTGCTTTCCGAGAGCTTTCAGCCAAATTGTTGGCTAATAACAACTTTCCCTTTGGTCCCAGAGACGGCGTTCTAGGAGTGGGCGTATCCGCCTGCCTGCAAGACGGGGGCCCCTCTCACACGTGGGTACTACGTAAGCACAAGCCTCGCAGTCGGGTGTTCTGGTAAACAAATTGCTTTACGTGCGATTAGACCTTGCTCGGATACGGAACCGGCGACAGGTTATTCCTTGCTAATTTCTGGGCATGTGTGCTATGCCTTCATTGTGGCACTGCGACGCTTGTAAACTTTACGCACCAGCCGGAAGATATCGAGTGATAAGGGCTGTTCCCGGATTGTTTACTCGGTCCGCCGGAGATTCCTTCCCGGGACTTAGCAATCTCCTCCGCCAGAGTAGGCTCGGGGACGGAAAGAACGAGGAATTCCCGTGGGTGCTCACGTGCGCGTGGCGAAGGAGCAATTTATTTAAATTATTTAATTAAGGCAGACACGTCATCATGCGGTGTCGCAGCCCATTATTTTGATTAAAATCAAAACCATTTCAGCTTATGCCACCGGCCTGGATATTCCACCTCGTCGCCACCCCTCCTTCCAATTTCATCTTCATTCCGCTGTTTTTCAATGGAATTGGCGTTGGCCGTTCTTACCGCATATTTTCTTTGTTATGATTATATTTGGCGCTGTATTTTGACTTTCGATCACTCTGCCATAGCCGACGGCAGGCAAATTAGTCACATTTTACACACGGCCTCTTTCGGGTTTTTTTGCATCGAAATGACTGCCAAGGGAGCGGATCGCCTGAAGACTTTGAGCAGTAGCCATAATTTGTTGATTGTCGTAACATTTTCTCGGAAGTCGGAACGAACCGGATTGGACAACTATATCCTATAGCTCCCATAGGATGGATCACATCTTTATACCCGTTGGTCGTAGAGTAAGAGGTTATACTGTATTTGTCGGAAAGTATGTAGCAGAAAGAAGAAACTGTCAACATCGATCATCACTACTTTTTTACCTCGTTAACAGGTGTTTTTGTTTAATATCAGAAGTCAATTAATTTCAGTTTTTCAAATTGGTATAATTAAACACCATGACCATAAGTCGTCTCCATAAAACTTCCTTATATGTAAAAATGTATTAAAGCACCTAGCCACACGGTTATGTTGCTATTGTAAAGAGACGAATAAATAAATTTAAGATACATACATATTCGAATATAAAATTTATTTTCGTCAATTTATTTTAAATCTAGTTTGTAAAAGTATGTAATAGGTATAAGGTTTTCATCCCCATAAAATGTATACTCGTATATGTTTGATCAGGATCACTAGCCGAATCGATTTAGCTATTTCCGACTGTGTGAACGCCGTGATCTCGGAAACTATAAGAGCTAGAGAGTTTATATTTCAGATTTAGATTCCATATTTTCGTACGCGAACATGCCACGCTTACTCTGACGGCTACAAACTGCCCGAAACTTTGACTCGTACAGTTTAAATGCTAGAAAAAAGTGTTGACTGAAATGTATTGTTCTCGTCAATCGATTGACTTACAAATCTTGCCACTCCTAACCGAACGCCCACAAACTTCAAAAAGTTGTCCTTATCATATGGACCAAAGATAGTAAGTTGGAATTTCAAATCTGGACTCCATACCTTCGTACGCAGCGCAAGTTTGATACGCTAATTTTCCACGCCCACTCAAACGCCTACAAACTGCCAAAAACTGTAGCGCCCACAGTTTTGACCAAAAGTTTGGGTACTTTTTGCCCCAATTTTTAGGCCACGAACAGCCTTGTAGGTCATCGTGGGCCTTAAAACTATTGCATTTTACCTAAAAATTTGTTAACTCAATAAGTCTGCTATATATTTATGTTGGACATAGCCAAATAAAAATTGTTTTGATTATAATTATTTAAGAAAATGTTATATTTATATAATATATATATATATTATATATATATATATATATATATTACCTATATATATATAAATTAACATTTTATTTATTATGATTTCAGTCAGAAGTTTGCCTGTCCGTTTCCACGCAAACTAGTCTCTCAGTTTTAAAGGTACTGAGATGAAACCTCCCCAAAAATCTTAGTTTTATTGCAGGTAGTATATAGCCCGGAAGGAGCCGGATCGGACAACTATATCCCATAGCTTCCATAGGAATGATAAAAAAATTTGTTTAAATGTAAATACATTATAACTGTTTTTTACATATTAACTTCTACTCTTGGGGATATTACTCTTTCAATATTAAAGAGATTTCGAATAAAATTTTAAACAAATCGGATGACCTTATCATAAAGATGCCATGGGAACGATCGGATAATTAATGTCAAAATAACATAATAACCGTTATATTAATTCTTCGGAAAACATTTACGGCAGTAAATTAAAATGGAGCATTATCTTAAAATGTCTGTTATTATTTTTAAGTATTCCAAAAATTTGGAATGCTCTTTAAGGGTATGGAAACGTCGGCTTTCCTAAGTAAACTTCCTTTCTTGTATTTTATAAAATTGAATTTTTATATCCGTTACTTGTAGAGTAAAAGGGGATACAAGATTCGTCGGAAAAAATGTAACGGGCAGAAGGAAGCTTTTCCGACCCCATAAAGTATATACGTTCTTGATCAGGATCACTAGCCGAGTCGATCTAGCCATGTCTGTCTGTCCGTATGAACGCTGAGATCTCGGAAACAGAAAAAAATCCGTTCGAAACGTTCAAAAATCAACCCTTAACGGGGTCAAAAAGTGCGTAAGCCCGTTTATTGACAATTTATGAACCCAAACTCTAGGGTTGGGTTCCGAACGAATGGTGTCAGTTTAAGAACATTTCGGGCTTATCTTCAGAACATACAAATCTCAAAAAAATTAGGTTTGTGTACATGCTAGACTTTCTGGACGCCTGGTAGAGATTTATTTCATTTATGTTTTGTCACTGCTAGAATTGAAAGGTTTTTGGTTATTTTACTGACGACAAAGAATTTAATTATTAATAGAAGTACAGTTACGACCATAAAAATAGTAGTGCAACCTAGAACAACATTGGAAAGGAAGATTTCGGTACTTTTATCGTTATCCTTGGAACGTGTTTCCACTTTTTGCTCAGAATAAAACATAAGTAAGAGGAAAGAGGGAAAGTTCCGTTAGATTTGCCACGGGAAGAATACTTTTTGATTATAATTCGAATTT